AATACCGGCTTTTCAATATAATTTGATACCGATAAGCTTTAAAACATTCTGAAAACATTGGTCCCACCACAAAACTGAAGTGATGTTGGTTAGTAACTGTAAAGTAGTGTTGTTACGAGGTGAAGTATCTGGGAGTAATGATCGACGCCCGGATGAATTTCAATAGCCACGTCGAATATGCGTGCGAGAAGACAGAAGGCCATCAACGCGATAGTCAGAATCATGCCGAACAATTCTTTTTCTTCTTTCCTTTATTTAACGTCGGTCTCTGCTCCGCAATCTAGTGCCAATCACCGACGGACATCCATTGACGGCAATCGAATGTGCAGGAAGGCAGCTTCCACACCTGCGTAGGATATCGCACCCATTCAACACACATGGTCCAGCACCAACGGCTTTACTTCCCTTCCGAAGGAAGACGTGACCAGGGATTTTTATGCCTCAGAAAAATCCCACCGACCTCGGCTGGGATTGAACCCAGACCCATCGGGGTGTTAGAAAGCAGTCACGCTTACCTCTACACCACCGGCGCCGGCTGCCGAACAATTCTGGTCCAAGCAGCAGCAAGAGGCGTCCTCATCGATACAAAGGTACGGAGGTCCTACCTGGATTGAAGAGCTGAAAACGAAGTAGAACCAAAGGAAATTGAGCTGTACGTTTCGGCTCATGGCCATGCGAGTCGTGAGTGAGTACAGATCCGTTTCGACGGAGGCAGAAGGCAGTATGCGTTATTGCCTGTATGATCCAAATCGGCATCACCCTGGCGGAGGACTACGAGTGCTATTTGAGGAGAAAAACCACACTGAAAATAGTTTTTCGTTAATTCTCTCATGCCCATTTCGTAAAAATGGGTTTCGTAGATATAACACATTTTTCGTATATTGTGCGAAACATTTGTATTGTATGTTATCAAGCATAATGCTAACATTACGCTTAGTTCGTACAATACAAGAACTGAATTTCGTACGGACGTAAACACTGCCTTCGTAAATCATTAGTACGTTCGTGTAAACTACGTTCACCTACGAAAATCATTCGTGCATTATAGCATTGGACGCATTGTGAAACGAATGTACAATGACAGCTAGAAGGAAAAATATATTTGTGAGCGAGTCCCCAGCTTCGAAAACGTACCACGGAGGAGCAAACATGGCTCAAGCTGGAAGTCCAGTCGTAAGCTATGGCCATCCTGAAGCTGACCATGGATAGCTGAGAGCAATCAAGGGGCTGTTCATAAACTACGTAGACAGTTTAAGGGGGGTTGGCAATTATCCACGGCCCATACAAATTAAAAAAAAATGTATGGACAATTCTCTACGCAGGGGGAGGGGGGTCAAGAATCCCAAAAAACTGTCTACGTAGTTTATGAACAGCCCCCAACATGATGGATAAGACCAACTCAGTTTTCATCCGAGGGCTATCGGGAAGTTCACGGTTCCTAATGAGGTGAGCAATTTCCATCGTTTTGCAATTTGTAGTGGAACTAATCCTTATTTTTTCAATATACACAGCCTGTCATTCGTTGTCTAGGCGAAAGAGCAGCTTACGAAAAATTTTCGGTGGACATAGACCGCATTCTGATCTTGGACACAGTCTACTCAAAAAATCCCCAAGGCTAGATATTTTAGCGTGACCGTGCCACCGACTAGTCGGGAAGGCGTTGGGCTGTTCATCGGAGAAATGCTGCCGTGGCGTAGGATATTGCCTTTGGTTCGTGCTGCGGTTTTCAAAAGCTCCTGGTGCAGATTGGAAGAACCACCATTGGTAGGGTTTTTGATCTAATTTCCGTCCTACTAAGCACAACCCGCACTTTACCTCTCTTTGCTGAACGAGTTTAAACAAAAATGGAATATTTCTGTCAAATATGACTTGCAAATTTATTCACCTTTCCATACGTACCATTGGATTTGATAAAGAGTCACAAATTGTTGAGATATTGTCTTAAATCAAACACTGCTTCTTGATTCTAAATTCGTTCTACGAGTTTCAATTCCGTCCTAACGCATTGAAACGCCATTAGATTTTCTTCGTCCTTCGGATAAACGTAGAAAAAGAGGATTCGCTAGGAGCGCTTCTTTTGTTTTGAGAACAATGAGCGTAAATCCCAACTAACAATTTTCACAATGTAAACGCTTTACTCATTTCATTTATACAGCCTCAAGCTGTATTCAAACGTTATACGATATGAGGAAACCTTTACTCAACCTCTATACAAGTAAATCTGGCGAACTTAGTCATCTACTTTTGGCTGTTGGAACGGTCGGGAGAAGCTCTTATTGCATATCCATTAACGCTTCTATACAGCTGTTATCCTGCTGTTTAGTTGTGTGTGTACTTGAAAGGCGCTTATTCAACCTTTTCCCGGTTATCCAATAATCACTACACAGCTTTCTCTTGAAGCCGGGTTAAATACTGTTTACGCTTTTTTTATGAAGGAATTTATTGAGTTTATTTTGCTGTTAATTAAAATTAATCGAAATTAGTTACAAATCATCACCAAATTATTTACCCTGCACCGGAACCTGGAATCGAACTCAAGACGACCTCATTGGCAAACCTTGACACTACCAACTGTGCTACGCCAACACTTCGAACTTAAGTAACAAATCAACATTCCCTTCTACAACAAAATCGCTGAGTAGAGGCTTTATAATAATGCACATGAATCACTTTTCTCGACTAGTTATAAAAGAGCAGAGTAAAAGCTGTAAAACTGCACACGTCTAAAAATAAACCTAGTTGACTGTGAAAATGCTTCCGAAGTTGCTCTAACACAGTTTATAAGCTGAGTACAGGTTGTTTAGTTGTTGAAAAAGCACTTTTGATGTTTATGTTATTCAGCAAGAGTGGTTGGTTGTGTAGAAACCATCAAATGAGTAATATATTCACTTTGTTAGCTTTGTTTTGCAGCTACAAGTTGAAAGTTGATTAGTGTGTGTATAGAAGTGACATTAGCGTTTATTGGCTGATGTTATTCAGTGCGACTGACAAATTGAATAATGGTTGTGAGAAAGTTGAGTAAACGCTCTCCAAAACTATTTTGCTAGCTTTTGCTTGTAGCTGTATCTGCAGCTTCTTTTCAGCTACTTTACAGCACCACGCTGGAAAAGTTGGCTTACAAAGCTGAAAATGTTAGTTGGGATATTCATACAATGCGCTCTAACAGGATTTATGTTGTAGCTAATGAACTAACGCATCGGAACAAAACTATTATTGATTTGTGCACGGTGAAATCATTGATATTATTGACCTTTTCTGATCGATACCGGAAATGGGCGATTACGACGAAGTAGCGCTCTACCCTATGTGATGGTTGTATTTTAAAGATTCAATATTCAATAAAGTTTTCAAAATGGCTCCCAAAAAGGACAATTTTATTTTCCAACTAAATGTTCGTGTCTATTTGTATAGCGTTTCGTAAACTTTGTTGTGAGTATATGGATGATTCGTAATATTTTCATTCCTTCGATTTTTTCACACGATTATATTCGTATTTAGTTTAAGAAATATTCGTAGCAAGAGTGGCAACGCTTCGTAAAATACACGAATGTTAGGAAGTGAATGATTTTGGAATTTTAGACGAATCGAGTTTCTTAGAACGTACGAATATTGTTCGTTGCAGAAAACAACGAAAGAATTCGCGAAGCAAACGAACGCTTTCGTTGTATAAACTAAATTTAATTTTCAGTGCAGAGGAGTACGAAAAGTTGACGAACCTCCTGTCTGGTCATGGCTGCTTCAGGAAGTACCTGCATCGGTTCGGACACGCAACGTCACCCTTCTGTCCGGAGTGTGGGAATGTGGAAGAATCACCAGAGAACTTGGTCGTCGAAGGTCCTAGATTTGATGCTGTGCGAGAGGAGATGCTCGCCCTTAGCGCGGAGAATGTCGTCGAAGAATGCCGTCAGCAGAGCAGTAGCGCAGATCATGTCAGCACTGCAGCGAAAATGGCGAGAATAGCAGCTAGAAAGTAGTAATGTACTCACACAAGTGCGAAGTGAAAGACGGAGCCGGGAGAACATTCACCGTCGGAGAACTCTCCATCGAAGTAGGCTGAATCCACCGCGGGGGGTTCGTTTAGTAGAACGCGACTACGCTGAGAGCTAAATGGTTCACAAACTTGAGAGACGATCAGCGAACTAGAAGCGCCGTTTAACTGAGATAAAGTGAGGTACGTAATACACAGCCCGCTCCAAAGTAAAACGACAAGTGGTCCCGGGGGAATACGGGCGAGGTGTCCAAGGAGGTTTTAGTGCGGTAAGAATCCCAAACACCGTGTAACCGCGACCGTGCGCCCGATCAGCCAACAAGCAAGTGGCCTTTTTCATGATTTCCTCGTTTCAAAAAAATACACACACACACACGTTTGACTTTTTGTTAATTCATAAATTCCACGGAATACTGTGGAAAGAAACCTGGCATCTTCGCAAATATGAGGTTTGATACAAGACACAGCATGTTCAATAGCGACTAGGTGTGATACATTACAGGACAAAATCAGTGTGTTCAGCTTCAAATAATGCCTTCTGAATTATATTCTCATGCAATTGTTTCTTATTCAAAATTGTCCCATCATGATCTAGGAGTTCTGTTTTCTTTCTGAACTGTGTGAAGGCTACGGATGCTGTTTTCTTTCATACCAAAGATTTTATAATAGTCTGCAGTATGAACATGAATGACTTCGAAGCGTTGCAATCAAATACAGCAGTGTCTCAGAATACAAAATAACAAATGCTCTTTTTTTATTCTAGCAACTAGCAGAGATTTATTTAAAGACACATGAATATTTACAATAGAGAGGAAGCGAATGTTCGTCACTTGTTTTGGTATCCTTAGCACTTTATTCAAATTCAACGATCTAGCATCTCCAATCCTCATCCTGTTCCTTGTGATAAAGAATAGCTGAGATTTCGACCGTATTGACTTTTAGTACAATGTTAATGTGGTGATTGCTACAAGATAATGTAACAACCAACGAAACCTGTTTCCTAGTAAAATAGTTCTTATATTTTGGTATGTTCTTTATTTTTTGGTATCGGTGCTGAGTTTTCACTTGGCATTAAGTCAAATACAGCTAATGGTTGGTTCATACTTTTACTTCGATCATGCATCGAAATACAGATACTGCTTCACGGATGCCTCGCTCCGCCCAATTTTTTCGGTCTTCTTCTTTATCAACACTCACTCACTCTTAACTGTAATCAGCGGGGCGTCGTCCAAATTCGAGTTGCACCAAAAAACATCAATATCAACAATAACAACAACAATTATCAACGTTTATCACCCGACCGAGTTTGTCACGCGACAACCATGTGACAGACACCAGCATCGAGGAAGGTCGAAAATCACTTCGAATTGGGCACCACCCAGCGCCAGATTAATAGATAAAAAACCGTTCACTTTATCGACACTTAACTCAATTTTTCCTGCAACTCACTCACCGCACGCAGGTCGGGAGGTTTACGGGGAAGAATACATTCAACTCAATCAAACTCGCCATAATCAGAAAGACGGCGTACATTATGAGACATGCGTATCCAACTCTCCGATCTAGCCGGAACTTGTTCAACCAGAACGCAACGTACAGCATCAGCAAAGTCGACAGCAGCGAGATGGCCGAGTATTCCAACCCGGCAGAATTGATTCCTACCCAATGGTGACCTTCTTGGATGGGCGAGAAGGCTGCCTTAATGAACCATGGCAATCCTAAACAGAGCAATATGTCGAAAGTGTTGGAACCAATCGAGTTACTAATTCCCATCGAGCCGTACCCTGAAAATGCGAAGAAAGATGTTGATTATCCATTATTGGAAAAACATTTCATACCAACAAATCTCGTGTCAATTAAAGGCTTACCCTGCTTTGCAACGATTACGCTCGACACGGCCTCTGGCACGCTGGTACCTGCTGCCAAAAATGTGATTCCCATAACCGAATCGGGTATTTTAAGCGTGTCGCCTGGAACGAGATTAGCCGGACCAAGAAAACAAAAAGTTTCCAAATATACCAAATTAGATATCTGTCTGTTATCTGTCGTTTGATTAGCCGTGACCGCGGGCTCACATAGATTAAGTCGTAATTTTCGATAAACGTTTTAATTTCCGTAGCAAAGTTCGAAGAGTGACGTCAAATGTGTATTATTTAGGGAAACCTAATCAGCGTTTTGATGCATGCTGAAAGAATACTACCAATGAACGGAGTTGAACACGGGCTCGAAGCTCGTTTGACAAACCACATGCAAATGCTGCGCAATCGCACTAATACACGTAGGTATGTTTTCAAGCTTAGCCCTCGAAGGTTTCAAGGGCTAGAGTAGGTCAACGGTGCCAATCTCGGCAAAAGAAACAAAGTGCGTAGAATGTGTCTGATCCATTTTATGCAACAGAAAAAGAAATTTAGCACAGAATTGCTTTAGCAAACACACAACTACTCTAGCCCTTAAAACCTTCGAGTATTAAGCTTGCCTCTATTATGACAATGTTTGTACTGTAACTTAACAAAATGAAATGTAGCCCCTAAATATTATTGCATATTGGGCAAGTGTGTTCAACTTTCTATAAGAATTGATCAGGAGTTTCTGATTTCAGTAGCTCAAAACGTTTTGGTGAGCAGTTGTTGAGTAGTATAGTTGAAAAGTACAAAATGTAGTAACGTCACGGAATATAGTCGTTCACCAAATCATTTAGAGCTACTCATATAGGCCTATTCTGAGAGGCATGTGAGGTGAGGTGACGGTGAAGTGGCAAATATAACCCCAGGTGAGGTGAGTCTCCGTGCAAATAAAATGGAGAGTTACCTCACCCGAGGTGACAATTGTAACTTCACTAGTGACAGCAAGTCACCTCACTTCACACGCCGCGCAGAATAGACCTAATAAACTCTTGATCAAATCTTATTGAAAATTGATCCCACTTTCAAAATCTGCAATAATATTTTAGGGTTACTTTCCATCATTTTTTTTCAGTTACTGTAAAAAGACATCCTGGTAGAATGTGTCATCGTGCAATCAACATGAAGAACTATGGTTAGGCAGAGTTATAAGTCATGCGATGGAGACGCCTGGTTCCTGATAATTAATCAAAGTTTCAAAATCTAACGCTGGGCTGATTTTAAGTAGGTAAATACATCAAATCGAACTATTCATCTTTGTAACCAATTAGCATCAACCGATGAAGTGCGTCACTGCAACTTACCGATAATCGTAATCATCCACGCAACCACGTACGACAGTGATCCAATCCAGACAATGCACATGATGAACGTCAGCGGAAACCAATTCTTGTATCTTGGTTTTTCGCAATTTGGAATGGTGAAAACAAACAGCAAATAGATTGGCCACGTAATGATCCATGAAAACTGCCGAAATTTGCTCTGCCCTGACGGATACTTGAAAAGTTGAAATTCCTCTTCCTTCTTGTCAGCTGCCTCTCCCGGTTCCCCTCCAGTGCAACCATTATCCAACGCACCGACGTCCTTTTCCGGACGATCTCCGTTCAGTGAGTGTTTCATCGATTCCGCACTATCGGTCGACGGTTCAGGTGTCGTAGGACTAGGCGGTGGAGGTGGTTGGTCATCGTCATCTATGCTGGCGGTGCCATTCATGCTACCGGCACTGTGACGACGCTTGTTTTGCTGTTGCGTTTGCTGCTGCTGCTGCTGCTGCTGCTGTTGCTGTATTTGTTGCTGGTCATTGAGTACGGTTGCTGCTGCTAGGGCCACTACGGGAGCTGGTCCATCTCCTCCTCCCCCACTGGCACTGATCGCCTTAATTTGCATCTCCAGATCCGCTGACGTCAATTCATTATTGCTCGCATCGATGTGAGTAACGTTCTTCAAATTGCCATTCTGTTGGAAGTGGCTTATACGTAACGGGAGATGCACATCAATTGCTTCTGTGGAGAGAAAAATTAAGAAAGATATGTTTAAAAGAAAGAATCGTAAACGTGCAGTACTACGGGCCTGGACATTAAGGTCAATGTGAATTGATTAAAACACAAGAATCGAGTCGTGCCCAGCTGGAGAATATAGCAATGAGCAATGTGTATTTTATGGGATCAGAGTGTTGTGACGTAAAGGTCTTCGACGTCATCAGCGTTGAGTCAAGTGCTTGATTTAATTGGCTTTGGAATTCTCAAAGTGTCTAACGAAATGATACGACATACATGTGCTTAAATTGACATATCAGCAATATTAATATATAAAAGTTGATCTCATTGCAGATCATACATATAATACTTTTGGAAGTGGAGGGGGTTATTCCGAAAGTCGGATTTTCACTCGGTCACTAGTGAGGTAACAAAAGTCACGTCGTGCGTCAGCACGACTTGACGTTTATCAACTCACTAGTTACAGAAAGTCACTTCCACTCTTGGCAGAGCCCCCAATAATAATCACGATAAGATACGCATTAGCTATGGCAAAATTTTCCTAATGTGGAATCATGATAACGCCAGTGTTTAGAAGAGTGAAACATAGAAAATGAGATCTTCCAAATATTGAATTCACAAAAATAGTAGCCCAGGAACAATAGAACGCCATTCGCCCAGCTCTGCTTATATGCGACATATTTTATGTATGCGTGGAAGTGTGGACCAATAGTGGAGGTACGTTAGTGCAATGTGTTCCTATAGTAGCTTATGGAGACTCCATAAACCACTTTAGGAACACATTGCACTACCGTACCTCCACTATTGATTTATATTGATGAGCTGCCAAGAGCTTTTTTATTGTGAAATTCCCGATCTTTCGGAAACAAAATATTGTTGGAACTGTAGAACCGCGAAATACATTCTAAAATGACCTAAAACTACCAACATTTAAAAGAAAACTACGTTCAATTATTATTTAGCTTTATTTAGGAGGCTTTCAGCCTTAGGCTGGTTCGCCTCCACTCTACGTTCAAACCGCGACATCTAGAAAATGGTGTGACTTAAAGGGTGTCCCACATCAAATTGCATCACGGAAAAAAACGCTGTAGAAAATTACCTGGTTGACCGATCCTATTCAAACTTTCAGACAAAAAAATACAACCCATAAGTAAGCTTTTGGTATATTTCTTTCATTCAACTTCATTACCATAACCGTACGCTCGCACCTTACGCTTAACTCCACTCATTAGGTTCTGTACAACATCTGGCTGCAGCTTCTTCTGTACGGAAACCCACTTTTTCTTCATGTCTTTCTGAGATTTGGGATGCTTCCGTAGTGCCTGCTGCATAAAAGCTCAGTATTTTTCGATGAGCCTTAGTTCCGGTGCGTTGGGGGGGTTCATGTCCTTGGGTACGAAAGTGACCCCGTTGGCTTCGTACCACTCCAGGACAACATTTGAATAGTGGCACGAATCATGATCCGGCCAGAAGATCGTAGGGTCCTCGTGTTGTTTCACCAGAGGAAGCAGACGCTTCTGTAGACACTCCTTGAGGTAGATCTTTCCGTTCACAGTCCCGGTAGTAACGAACGGCGCACTCCGTTTACCACATGAGCAGATCGCTTTCCAAATCATGTATTTCTTGGCAAACTTTGAAAGTGTCTGCTTCCTTGCTTCCTCCGGAACATCAAACTTGTGCTGGGTGGTGAACAACAGTAGCCCCTTAAGCTGCCGGAAGTCCGCCTTGACGTAAGTCTCATCATCCATGATGGGACAATGAGGCTTCGTCAGCATCTGAGTGTAGAGTTTCCGGGCCCGTGACTTTCCCACCGTATTTTGTCATTCGTCACGATTTGGAGCCTTCTGCACTTTGTACGTATGCAGTCCCTGCCGGTCCTTAGCTCTCTGAACAAAAGACTTGGACAGATTCAACTTTTTAGCAACATCCCTGACCAGGCATGGAAGTTTTTGTAGGTTTTGTTATTAGCTACAACTTTTGCTCATAACTCAAATCTGTATCTCTTATGCATCACGAAATACATTCACTGAAAAACAGTAGTGGCTTCTGTTCGCTCTGGTTTGTCATGCATCAGAAATACGGATTTGACTTGTTAACCGAAGAAATACCGATTTGACTTGTTAACAAAAGTTGTAGTTAATATCAAAACCTACAAAAGCTCGGTACATCATTTTGCGGAATGCTGTTGATGAAAAAAGTTAGAGGCAAATGAATGTAAATGAATGCAAATGATTTTCCATGCCTGTCCCTGACCGAAGCATTGGGATTCCGCTTAAACGCTTTCACGGCACGTTCAAGGACGTAGCCAGGTTTCGAACTAAGGAGGGGCGAAAAAAATGAACTATGGAAAATTTGGCCGAATACCATTTCACTGAACGCTATTTCACCGAAAGCCTTTGTGTTGCTGAGTTTAGGCCCCCTCTGGATATGCCTATGGACACGCTTGTGATCCTGATCACTAATAGAACATCCATTCTGACCGCATTTCTCCTTCCTTTCGATGCTCAGAGTTTCGTAGCAACGTTTAATAACACGACTCACCGTTGACTGCACGATTCTTAGTTGTTTTCCGATGTCCCGATGAGAGAGTTAAGGAATTTCAAGGTGCTTGCTCAAAACCAATTCGCGACGTTGCTTTCGGGTGATGCAATTTTTCCAACTTTCGAAAAACTGACAGCGATAAAAATACAGTGTACACACTCTAAACTACTTCTACCCAAATTTTCAAGAGAAAATACTACAGCGTTTTTCCGTGATGTAGTTAGATGTGGGACACCCTTTAGCAGCACTTTTTCATTCAAAATTTGATGTACTTTCGTTATATCAAGTCGAAAAAATAACCGAACCATGTTGTAGATATTTTATAAAAAAAATGAGTTTTTTTCAAAAATTAAAACTTTTTTTCCATCATTTCTCCACCTTAACCAAAAGAGTAATAGGTGGTATTCAGTATCCCCAAAAATAAATAAAATAAAAATAAAAAAATCCGCTCTTAATTGGAACGATTTTTAAGTAGTTGAAGATGCTAATTTTAAATAACAGACTAGAGTGGTAATTTTTATACGCTAGATGAGGAGATGAAAGTATAGAGTTGATAGTTCCGTTAGAGTTCGGCAGTGTGAAATTGTTTGTATAGAAAGTAGAAAGCTAGCAAGGACAACTTTTATGAATAAAGGTACATATCGGTTTGCTCATCTCTCTTTACCAAACTCCCACGTTGGAGAGGGATGGTGATGGGTATTCCCCCCGCCACCACTGGGAGTTTGGTAAAGAGAGATGATCAAACCGATTTGTACCTTCATTCATAAATAACCACTCTAGTCTGTTATTTGAAATTAGCATCTTCAACTATGTATATCGTTGACTTCACGCAGAAGTAATATAAAACAAATAGTTACGGTACGATTTTTAAGTTTTATTTTAAATTAAAAAAAAATGTGACATTTTTAATGCATGCATTTTTTTCAAATAGTTCCAGATATTTCCTACAACATTGCCCAAGGTATCAAATCGGTTGGACAAACATTTTTCGAGTAGCAGTTTTCCGAAGACTACCTCGTGCGTGAATTTGATATCCTTGTGAATTCTGGTGATCTCAACTAAAATTTGTGGAAGGGCTTCCCGTTTTACTACGCTGAAGATATCGTCAATAAATGTGCTTTGTCCTTCAGGATTGTCTCCAAGTTGGCCATGAAAAGTTCGCACAGGAAGGGGATAGGGGGTTTCCCATTGAGGCTCCTTTCGTCTTCTTGTAGAAGCTACCTCGGAAAGCGAAGTAGTTCTCTTCCATACAAAGGTGGGTCAGCTTAAGGTACGTCCGAACCTTGAGTCTCCATGCAGCGATAGACTGATGCAAAATTTGACTTTTTCGCTCCACAGTGCTTAAATGGTTTCAAATCGGGTCCTGATTAGCCTCCCAAAGTTACAACTTATTTGGTTAGAAACAGACTTCGCACAAGCCATTTGAAGTTTACATGTAAATTACTATGGGAAATCTCAACTTTTTGTTCATTGCCTTCTAGTCTTTTTCCATATTGAGCTACGACACAGTTGGATAGCCATTCTTATAGAAAAAAATTTCAGCTACAACTTTGCTAAAGATCGTTTCTATGTAAAACGACTAATGAGACAGTAAAAAGTTATTAATTATTTAAGAGATTGGTAAACTTATGACAAGATCAACCAGCTGCTCTGTAGGCAACTCTGTATTTTGCAGTGTGACATAATGTTTGTGTCCTATTCAACGCCCCAGAAACACCAATGTTGCCTGCTGAGCAGTTGATTGAGCATGATCATAAGACATCAGCGCATTGAACCATTGATAACTTTCGATCCTTGCATTTAATAAAAAAGTGGTCTCCAGCAAAGTTGTTGCTGCGAAAATTTCCTAAAAGTACAGTTGAAAGCTTTTGAAGCAAACCGATATGGTGAATTATTAGATAGACACGAACAAAACTCTTAGTTTTATCATAGTAATTCCCATACAAACTTCGAATGGTTTGTGCCATCTCAGTTTCTCACCAAATGGGTTCACATTTTGAGAGGTTAGTCAGGATCCGATTTGGAATCGTTTAAGTATTGTGGAGCGAAAATTTCCAATGTTGCTTCACTCTAATGCAGCATCCTCTCGTTGTGTCCTATAAATGGTTGATCGCTTCCGTGACCGGTACGCTGGGAAAAAGAGCTGTCACGTCGAAAGATACCGTGATCTCGTCCTCGTTGATGTTTCCTGAAGATTGTAGTTGCTGGGTGAACTCCTGGGTGTTGCTAACTGCTTTACTCTGGAACTGATTTTTAATACTCTGGATCTCTGTGACTAGCCACTTAGCTAGCTTGTGGGTGGGGGAACCAACTGCAGACACGATCTCTCGCTTTTCATTCCCTGGTTTGTGGACTTTGGGGAGACCTTTGATCCTGGGTAGAATGGGATTGGATTCCCGTAAAGGACCTACTCCATCTCCTAATATTGATTTGCACTCCTTCAGTGCTTTCTCTACGCGTTTCAC